GCAATGGGCGTCTTCTGTGAGGCACCATAGATAATCTAATGTACTGTAGATAGTGAATCAAATATGCAAAATTTTATGGGTGACAGTGTTAACATAGCTCGTCAGTTTGGCAGCTGAGAACAGGCCATGGGCTGTTGCAGGTGCTCCACTGACAACGTTTAGCCCTGGATATCTTAACATACACTGTCAGAAGTACAAGGTAACAGTTGTTATTTCATAGCTGTTTCTGGCCTTTTCATAAACTGGAGCTGTTTATAAATCCTTCTGTGTGTATACATTGTGGTCTGATAGAAACAAAAAACGATCATCCCACTGTGAATAGGCTATATTTTTGACACTCCCCTGCTCCATCTGTGTTGGTCTCTTAATTCTGCTTCTGAACAACACAGAGGAGGTGAGGCAGAGAAGTGGAGACAGGGAGTTACAAAATAAGGAGGAAGCGAACTGTCACTGAGACATGTCTGACAGGAGAGAAAGGCACAGGGAGGTGGTGAGTAGCAGGGTGGAAGACTGTTTGGGTTTATGGGGAGATACAGGACATAAAAGAAATAAATGTGCAGTCACTGAGTAGTTGCTCCTAGAATGGTTCTGAAATGTATTTTTAATGTGGCCACAGGATGATGAATACCATCATGAAATTGTATATCATGACCAGTTAAAATTGAGAATGAAAGGAAAGATAAAAGTAAGGGCAGATGAAGGAAGTATAGGAATGAAGTTCAAGTGCGTAGGAGATAACAGTGTTTAGAGGTTTAGTTTTTAATTAAACTTAAACCATTGCATTTAGGTAAGTATATCATAAACCATTGTGCCATGTCATTTAGGAAACAGACGCCAACATACAAAAGGCATGAATACAAAGCAAGAGTACAGTGTGTCTTTTCATGATAGATAATTATGCAGTCATAGCAGAATCACATCATTGTTCCTCTAAAATGCACCACACAATTTAGCTGCTCAGATAAAAAGTATGGTGTTGTAAAGAAAACAAATTGGTGTATGTTTATGAATGTCTGTCTTTGTGAGGTTTTCAGACTTTCAGCTTTAGGACAGACATTTTTGGAAATTGCAATTGGGGATTGGTTTTATGATTAGGTTTAGGTTAAAGCTCCAATATGCAGCTTTTGGGAATCAAGCTAACTGTGGCATGAGACTCAACATCAATCCACTCTGCTCCACCCCTCTCCTCCATCTCTCTCTGCTCGGCTACGCACCGCCCAGCTCTTCAGGCATTAGTTGTTATGAAATTACAATAAATACAAATGGTATAAAACTCAGCAATCAAAAGGAAACAATGGCAAATTAGCACCCATTTGAAAATTGTTATTGTCCCTACTCTTTGCAGTAGGCAGTATTCTTTCCTTCACTGTGTCTGCTGTCTCTTTGGTTATGGATTGCACTTTGTCAAACAGCATCTTCACAAATATAAAAGTGCAAAGGTGTGTGTGTATTTCATTATTCATGTTGTGGGGATGCAAAGTCGTCTCCATAACATTGTGGTGGGTGGTTTCCACTCCCACTGGGGTACAAAAAGCTGGCCCCTACAAAGATAAGGATTTACTTTATGTTTATGGTTAAAGATATTTTTTGTGTAGACTTATGCCTGTTTTTGTTTTGGAGTTATTTTTGTTTATTGCACAGAAATTAGTTGGAAGGTGACAGAAAATGAGGGAGAGGGAGATGCAACAAAGGTCAAAGTGTGGGTGTCTTAATCCCAGCAGCACAGGAACACTCCAAATTGCTTTTGGAAAATTAATGGCTGAATATGAAGAGTCTCCAAATGACCTTTTTTACTGGGACTACAACCAATGATTAGTTTTGCTCTTGATTGATTCTGCTGGTTATTTTCCTAAACTGATCAATCAATCTTTGAAAAGCTTAAAAATGCCTATTATAATATTCTAGATCCCAAGGTGACTGCATCAGATGCCTTTTGTCCAACCAGTGGTAGAACTAAATAATATGTAAGTTTATCAGTGGTGGAAAAGTACTCAGATTGTTTACTTTAGTAAAAGTAGCAATACCACAGTGTAAAAATACTCTGTTACAAGTAAAAGCCCTGCATTCACATTGCTACTTAAGTAAAAGTAAAAAAGTAAAATCATTCATTATGCAGAATGGCACAGTTCACATTAATGTATCTCATATTATTGGACTATAATTATTGATGTATTATTGTGTAAAGTCTGATGATTCTTCTGTATTTTAATTAACCTCAGTTTGAAAAGTAACTAGTAACTAAAGTTATCAAATAAATGTACAAAGTACAATATGTTTATGTAAAATGTAGTGAAGTTGAAGTAGATGTACTTAGTTACTTTCCACCTCTGATTTTTATTATAATAAAAGACCAAGGTCAGAACAGAGGACTACAATTTTTGGCAATTCTGCTTGAAAAATATCTTTAATAAAATGACTGCTAGAACCTGAATGACCAACAGATGCAGCTCTACTTTTCAGTTGTTTTGTAATTGTAATGTTCATACTTACATTTAAATATTTGATGCGCTGTTAACGCACACAGTGCCCTTGCCATGCGTCTTCTGTCTGTAAGTAACTGCAGGCTGCAGGGTTCGTTGAAATCAGACCATTTTACTGACGCCTACAGCAACATGACCAAAAGCAGACACACACAGTAATCAAGAATAGAGTAAGCTTTCACACTTCCACGTCCTGCACCCTCTTTACGTCTCCCTTTGCACCTTTAACACACACCCTGCACTTTCTTTAATTCTCATACTCACTTCCACCATCCTTCTCTTCTACCAGTAAGCCCTCCGGGTCATGGGAATTATGTCACTGCTACTTTCCAGAGAGGGGGACAGACAGAAAAAGAAAGAGAGAGAAAGACAAAGACAAAGAACAGCCAGCAGAAGTAAAATTTACAGTGTGTCCTGTAAAAGGTGATTTATTTTTCATTTGCCACCTTCGTAGTTGTGTGTGATGTGAAGTGAATAGGAGAAAATAAGAAAGGAAAGGACAAGAATGAGAGACCTTGAGAGAGAGAAAGAGAGGAAACAAAGAAAGAAAGCTACAGGGGATAAATAAAAATAAATAAAAAGCATGTGTCCTATAAAAGGTGTTCTATATTTCATTGGCCATCTCCAGTAGCTGTGTGTGGTGTGTTGAGACCCACAGGGGACCGAGTAGCCACTCTAAATGTGTGTAACCCACATAAAGAAATTGTTTCTGGGAGATCGGGCCCCGTAAATTCATTCCTAGCCGCCAGCTCTGTTCTTATCCCTCCTCCCAGAGGTGAGCTATAACATCACATCAACACATATATTTTTTAGATTCCTTCTCTCTCGCTCGCTCTCTCTGCATACACACACACACACTTGTACTTCTGTTTTTGTGAGGACACTCATTGAAATAATGCATTCCCTAGCCCCTTGCCCTACCCTTAGCCATTTGAACCAAGTCCTAACCATAACCCTTCTCCTAACCTAACTCTAATTCTAACCTGAACCATAAAACCAAGTCTTACCCCTCAAAAAGGTGCTTCAGCAAGTGAGGACTGGCCAAAATATCTTCACTTTCCAAAAATGTCCTCACACTGTAGCAAAAAAACTAACTTTTTTGGTCTTCACTATGTAGCAGGTACAAGAACGCACACAGACACACAAACACACACGCACACTTTTTGGGGTCGGGGAAAAATACATATTCACACAAACACAAACACACACATGTTGGTTGCTTTGCTCCCAAATGGCTTGTGTGGAACAGGAAGGGTGACAGCTACAGCAACATCAGTACCTGCTGTGGAACAGAACGGCTTTAGAGAGAAACAGCAGCAGACACTGCACACACAGCTCCGGGATTAACTTAGCCTGAACAAACTCCATTACTGCTTCTATTACCCAAGTATACAGAGTCTGGGAAAAAGCACTTTGCAGAACCACTGTTTACCCAGCACCTCTGTGCCCCACACACTGTTTCCCTTGACTACAGAGCAAGGAAGGGGTGAAGA